GAGTATGCGATGTAATTAAAAATGCAGAAACGGACGAACGTAAAGATCGGATGGCTCTTGCGGCTATTTATCAAGCAATTCCAGAGGACGTACTTCTGATGTTAGCTGAGAAGGACACAGCTAAAGAAGCATGGGAAACGCTCAAGATGATGCACATGGGAGCCGATCGGGTCAAGGAGGCTAAAGCTCAAACCTTGAGAAGTGACTTCGAGGTGATCCGGATGAAAGACAGTGAATCGGTAGATGATTTTTCCATGAGATTGAATACTATCGTAACCGGTATTCGATCTCTGGTGAAAAGATTGAAGAAATTACGGTTGTGAAGAAGTTTTTGCGAGCCGTACCGATACGATTTATACAAATCGTAACATCGATCGAGCAATTCGGAGATTTGAAGAATATGACGGTGGAAGAAGTTGTGGGTCGTCTTAAGACCCATGAAGAGAGACTTCGAAGCTATGGAGAAAAAGAAGAAGGACCTTCTCTATTGCTTACACATGCCGAGTGGGCATCTCGTTCGAAGCAAACTGGCGAGAGAAACTCGTCAAACACTTCAAGAGGACGAGGAGGACATGGTAACCGAGGCCGGGGACGAGGCCGAGGTCGTGGACGTGGCCAAGGAGGTGGTCGCGAGTACAATACAAATCGGAATGACCATAATCCTTCTCGAAAGGATAAAAGTAAAATCAAATGCTTTACTTGTGAACAATTTGGTCATTATGCTTCGGAGTGTCCAAACAAGAATCGAGGTGAGGAGGCAAACCTCACTCAAGCCAACGAAGAAGAGCCTATTTTAATGATGGCAACCTCACAAGAATATGCACACAAAAAGTGTCTCTAAGAGAGAAGATTTGTGTTAATCTTCTTGCATCGGGAGAAAGTCGAGTCGAGTCTGAGGTATGGTATCTCGACAACGGTGCTAGCAATCACATGACTGGAGACCGCTCAAAGTTTCGGGAACTAGATGAGCACGTTACGGGCCATGTGAAATTTGGGGATGGTTCGACCGTCGCTATTTTGGGAAAAGGGTCGATTTTATTCGATAGCAAAAATGGCGACCAAAGACTCCTTAATGAGGTATATTTCATTCCAAGTCTAAAAAACAATATTATTAGTCTTGGACAAATGACGGAGGAAGGGAGTCGGGTCATAATGGATGGGTCGGATCTGACATTTTTGACAGAAACAAAACTCTACTTTTGAGAGTTAAACGATCCCCAAACCGGTTATATAAAACTCCTTTAAGGACCGGTAGACCGACTTGTCTTTTAGCAACAAAAGACGAACCAGCTTGGATATGGCATTCTAGACTCGGTCATGTTAACTTTCTCGCCTTAAAGAAGTTGTCCGAAAAGAATATGGCAATCGGAGTCCCAAAGATTGAGCACCCAAACCAAGTATGTGAAGGGTGCGTTCTTTCCAAACAAACCCGAATTCCTTTCCCGGATCATGCAGTTTTTCGAGCTCAAAAACCTCTACAACTTGTTCATGCGGACTTATGTGGTCCGATCACACCTACGTCTGTTGGAGGGAGTAAATATTTTCTCCTTTTAGTAGACGATTTTAGCCGGTGGATGTGGGTTTACATGCTATCGGAGAAGTCTCAAGCCTTGAGCGCTTTCAAACGGTTCAAGTTGATGGTTGAAAAGAATTCGGGTTATCAAATAAAGACACTCCGAACGGACCGAGGGGAGAGTTCACTTCAAAAGAATTCTCATTATTTTGTGAAGAAAATGGTATTCAAAGGCATCTTACGACACCATATTCGCCTCAACAAAACGGAGTTGTAGAAAGGCGAAATCGGACCGTTATGGACATGGCAAGAAGTCTGCTCAAAAGTAGAAATGTTCCGGGAGAGTTTTGGGGAGAAGCGGTTAGACATGCAGTTTATCTTCTCAACCGCCTGCCAACAAAAGTACTTCCCGACAAGACGCCTTATGAAACATGGTTTGGCAAAAAGCCCAACCTTGAACATCTAAAAGTTTTTGGTTGTGTTGCTTTTGCTAAACTTGTAGGTGGTCACTTGAAGAAGCTTGATGATCGAAGTAAGAAGATGGTGTATTTAGGTGTGGAAGATGGAACTAAAGGCAACCGTTTGTTTGATCCACAAGACCGAAAGTTGCGAGTTAGTCGCGATGTTGTTTTTGACGAAAAAGAAGAATGGAATTGGTACAAAAACAAAGAAGAAGAGATGGCGACTCCTAAGACCTTTACCATAATTGAACCACAACCCCAAATACACCTCGAAACACCTCAAAATGACCCCGAAATCAATCTGGAACAACCAAACAGCCCAGGAATCGATGCTATCCAAAGTTGGACAACCATATGCTGAATTTGACGAGCTTGAACCAGCTTCACATACTCCTGTCTCAGCCCCATTTTCTTCAACCTCGCCCCATATGGAAAGCCCTTCTAGTGAGATTGGGCCAAGGGGATTGCGTCCGTTAACCGATATTTATTCTGAAACCGAAAATGTGTTCCTTGAACCCGGAGAATTGTTGATGATTGCAGCGGATCAACCCTTGAATTTAAAGAAGCGGTAACCTCTAAGGCATGGTAGGAGGCTATGCAAACAGAGTTGGATGCAATCGAGAAGAACAAGACATGGCAACTTACCGATTTGCCACCCGGACACAAAGCAATCGGTTTGAAATGGGTGTTTAAAGTGAAGAAAGACAACTTGGGAAAAGTGGTGAAGCATAAAGCTCGACTTGTAGCAAAATGATTTGTACAAAAGGAAGGAGTCGACTTTGATGAAGTTTTTGCACCGGTAGCACGACTTGACACCGTAAGGCTCATTCTTGCCTTAGCAGCTCAACATGGGTGGGTTGTCCACCATCTCGATGTCAAATCGGCTTTTCTTAATGGAGATCTCAAAGAGGAGGTTTATGTCACCCAACCAGAAGGATATGTTGATAAAGCAAACAGTCACAAGGTGTTCAAGCTTTATAAAGCTCTTTATGGTCTACGACAAGCTCCTCGAGCTTGGAACATTCGTTTGGATAAAAGCTTAAAAAGGCTTGGTTTTACAAAAAGTTCACAAGACCCAGCTGTTTACAAAAGGAACTCAAAAGACAAAATTCTTATTGTTGGTGTCTATGTTGATGACTTGATCATTACCGGGTCGAACACTAATGATGTTGTCGAATTCAAAGAACAAATGAAGAAAGAATTCGAAATGAGTGACTTGGGATTACTTTCTTACTACCTTGGAATCGAAGTTTCGCAAAAGAAGTGGGGAATATCTTTGCGACAAACGGCTTATACAAAGAAGATTTTAGAGCAATTTGGGTTGCTGGATTGCAATCCGACAACGTCACCAATGGAACCTAAGTTGAAGGTTAAGAAGGATGAAGATGGTGAAAAAGTTGATCCAACTAAATATAGGCGAGTGGTAGGTTGTTTGAGGTACTTGACTCACACTCGACCAGACCTGTCATTTTCGGTTGGAATTGCAAGTCGTTTCATGGAGGAACCGACCACTTTGCATTTCCAAGTTGTGAAACACATCTTGCGATACGTAAAAGGAACCGTTGATTATGGAATCAACTATGGAAGAGGTCGTGAAATTGAAGATTTGGTTGGTTTTACCGATAGTGATCTTGGAGATGACCCTGTTGATAGCAAGAGCACAAGTGGAATGATTTTCTATCTGGGAAGGAATGCGATAACTTGGCAATCCCAAAAGCAAAAGACTGTTGCTTTGTCCACGTGTGAAGCCGAGTTCATGGCAGCTACAACAGCAGCATGTCAAGCCATTTGGCTTGCTAATCTCGTGAAGGAGCTCACGGGACATCATATTATGCCTATCACCTTATATGTCGATAACAAGTCAGCAATCGCATTGATGAAAAATCTTGTGTTTCATGGTCGAAGCAAACACATTGACATTCGTTATCACTTCATACGAGAATGTGTTGAACGTGGGCAAATTATAGTGGAATATGTCAACTCGAAGGATCAACGGGCGGACATCTTTACAAAGGCTTTAACATACGTGAAACATGGTGAAATGCGAAACATGATCGGAGTGACGAATCTCGAGCCAAGTTAGGTTTAAGGGGGAGAATGTGAGTGTAAACCTACTTGGGTGTGAACCTGCCATGAGTAGCTGTACCACCCTCTTTAGTTGACAAATGAATCCCTCCTTTGTTGACAATAAGAACTCAAATGGCAACTTCGTATGTTCACATAATGAACACAATAAATGGTAGCAGTAGTAATTGTAGGCTTGTTTAAGTATAAATAGAGGCTCTAACCTCAGTTGTAAGACACCACAAAACAGAGAGTGTACTGTGTAATACTTAGAGTGAGTATTAGAGGGTTGTTTCTTTTTCTTGTAATATTGAGCGTGTAAGCTCTTCTCTTTTGTTCTAGTTCTGAATAAAAGTGTGTTTCAACCCCAACAGAAAATAGGGGTAAAAGTCTAAAACCTCATTCATTTTGTGTTCTTGAATCTTCTTGCTATGATAGTCTACATGACTTTTTTCCAACGTCTTTTCTATACTAATCAAAATCAACTCTACAATTAATACCTTCTATTATCATTTTTTGTAAATCAGAATAAATTTGATTTCACTAGAGCATAAACATGCTGTCAAAAACAATTTTTCTTTCTGGTTTACCCTTTTTAAAAAAATCCATGATACAAATGAGTCAAGTGATATAGGATTGAAAAGAATCTGAATTTGTTATGTTTTGGTAAACAAGAAAATTTTATCATCTCTAAAGGTAGAACAAAGCACATATTAAAATTGCATTTTTTTTGCTGTTTGCACTTAACAATTCCCACAAGTTTTAACTACAATGTTCAAAATGGAAGTAATAGCAGAGATGTAAAATACATTGGGCTATGACCATGTTCATCTTAGACAATTGGAAATGGTTAACATCTCTTTTTGGATCATTTCATCGGGCAGTTGGCGGACAATATAAGAAAGTTTAGATATATGTGACCTAAAGTTTATACAACACCACAAAGCTTAGAAGCCAACTTCTCATAAGGTAGTTAGACACCTTCCATTTGGAATCCCATGGTAGATAACCTCATTGACAGACATGTGAGCATCATCTTTGTCCTGTATGCCTAGGTGGAATGGGATATTTGGTCCTTCGGTGATCTCAACAGCAATAATGGCAACCAACTGTATGAAAAAAAAGGAGACAATTAGAAATCAAATTCGCAAAAAAAGATCACTTTCAGTTCGAATTTGCAGAAAACAGAATTAGAAATTAAAAATTCGATTTTGATTTAAAACCCTAACTGAGAGTTCGAATTCAAATCAGCGAGCATACAACTTCATAGCAGAGAAAGATCATTTTACTAACCTTTTTGACTGTCGGAAATGAGGAGAGAATTGGGAATCTTGAAGATGAAAATGAAACTGAATCCAACAATACCAGTCGAGTCGAGCTGACCAAAGGCGATATGGCTATGTGTTTGGGGTTCTAGGTTTCCGAAAACAATAACATTCAACAATAAGGTTGCTGATAGAAAAGTCGAAAAAGTTCATGATGAAATAAACGCAAATCAAATCAAAATCAAAATCAAAATGAAGACCCATGTTGATTACCTTAGGGAAGAAAATCAAAATCAAATGAAGACCCAAAAGTAGAAAAGACGATACCTGTAACAGGAAGGTGGGTAAGGAGATAATGATTTCGGCGACTGAAGTGGCAGAGCTGACTACAGGTGATTGTGACGGTAAGGCAAATCGGTGGAGCGCTGGCGGTGGGGGTATGCGCTTGTGCGTGACTGCGTCATTCGTAGAGATGTTGGTGGTCCATCTTCAGATTCCATGGTTCGCCGGGCTGGTAGGGCCTTTTCTTGGAAGACGACACTGCCTCGTTTCTTCCTGCGACGATTAGGTGGAGAAGGTGGAAGCATCTAGAAGAAAAATATAGAAGGGATATACACCAGCAGGTAGAAGATAAGGTGGTGGAAACCACGTGGTAAGGCGGTGGAAGCAGTGGAGAAAACGGTGGAGAAACAATCCATCAGCTTAGCACGAAGCCATATACAAAACCAGGAGAGGATTAATGGAAGTGGATTAGCCGAGCCAAAACCACCAAGCTAGCAGCTCCAAACCGGGAACTGTAGATAAGCCCCTATGATTTAATTGTATGTATAATGATTCATAAGATTGAATCCACCTCCTTAATTGTTGTTAGTTGTTTTTGTTCTGATTCTAATATTAGAGATTTTGGTGAGGTTCTATGCTCAATCAATTTCTTTTATAGGTTACTAAAAGGTAAATGACAAGAGAGATTGATAACTAATGTTTGATGTGATGCAAATACATTTGTATTTCAAGCTTATTTTTTAAACCGTCATGTATATTATTTCTTTTTAGGAATACATTGGCTTCTTTCATAGCCACAAGAAGCCATGCAACACAAGAACATCTAAGGTTGCCCTTGGCAAAATAGTGGATGCTTTTTTCCATTCCATAGATATAGGTTTGACATAAGTAGGCATAAGGCCTTCCGATATAAAGACGAGTTTTTTTTTAGGGTAAATTACACCAATCGTCCCTCGTGCATATGTCAGAAAGCGTGTTTAGTCCCTATTTTCAAAAATTAACTCGGACCGTCCCTCGTGACGTTAAAAGTTTCACGTTTCATCCCTCGTTAGTTTAAATTTGCACGTTTAATCTCTTATGACACATAAAAAGACTAAAATTCCCTTTTCCTTTACTTTTTCATTTATTTTTAACATGTTTGACATTTTTAATTATTAAATTTTATTTTAATTATTTTTCTATTTTGTTGAAGACCTGACCACCATCACCACATGTAATCTACACCACCTCCGGAAATTATAGCATCATCACCACCCCTCACCGGAAAATAGAGCACCAATTCCACCCCTCACTTCATCCCATCCACTCATCCGTTCAAAGCAAGTGTTTCACTAAAAATAACTAGAAACGACCACCTTATTCACCGAACTAGTAACCTATACTCAAACCACCATTGAACCATCCACATTTACTGTTAACACCACCAGCAGCCTTCATCAGAAAATCCATCAGCAAATTAGGAAAGAATAATCAAGGCAAATCAGGAAGGAAGAATCAGGGTATGGCAATGTTTAATTCGAAATCAGGAAAGGATTTAGGGTTCATAACCTGAAAGCAGGCGACGTCAGAGATGGAGGAGGAGATGAGTGACGGTGATGCAAATCTGATTACTGTGTAGAGTGTCTCTGGTAAGGTTTCGACGAGACCTTCTTTGTTGCCACCAACATGATCTTCTTCCCTATCGATACATGTATATTACACCACCGTCTCAAACGAGTTTGAATAAAAGAACCATACGCCCCTTTCTTCGATTTCAAATGACTCAATCTCAATTTCTGAAATGTCTCCATCCGTGTGAGATAAAGAACCGCGGCATAGGGTGTCGGAACCACCGTCTATGTAAGATTGGAGCTCAATTTGGGGATTTCATGTGTGATGGTACGAGAGAGAGGGAAAAAGAGATGGAAATTAAGGTTGGTGGTTGTTAGAAGATTGACGGAGATGGAGTCGTCATTGCCACTTGTGTGCTCTCATCTACACTCCTCCTCGGGTGGCCGGCCAAGGTGAAAGGGGATGTCGGGAAACTAAAGGGAAAGAGTAGGGTTGAACGTGTAATTGGGGGGGGGGGGGGGGGAGGGAGGGAGGTATTTATTTTATTTTATTCTTTTTTCAATTTTAAAAAATGATAAACAAATAATAAAAATATAAAAAAGAAATTATTAAGGGTAAAATAGTCATTTTATGTCTCCAGGGACTGCCCGAGTGAAAAAAACATAATACAGGGACGGTCCGAGTTAATTTTTGGAAATAGGGACTAAACACGTTTTTTGGCATATACACGAGGGACGATTGGTGTAATTTACCCTTTTTTTTTTATAAAAATTGGCTGTTTTTAGAAATGCTTTGTAAAAATGGGTTGTTTTAAAATTCATTGGTAAATATGGGTTCTTTTTAGGATTACCCCACACAAAAAGCAACAATCATATGTTTATTTTATATTAAACCCCTTTAACTATTCTATTATTTTAATTTTACATATTTTTTATTAAACAACAACATATCTTTCTTAATTCAAATTTTATTTTATACACCAACCTGCGTTCAATTATGTTATTATACTTTTACATCTTTATATATATATATATATATATATATATATATATATATATATATAAGATATATATATATATATATATATATGGTAAGGTTCAATAGAGAACCATAATTAACCAAGGAATCTCTGCATGAATAAAGTTCTTCGACAGGACCATCCCGACCGAGGGCTAATCATAGATCTACTATGGTATTTTCTTCTTTTCTTTGTTCAAATCCTTTTCGGGAAGCATTATATTGAGTAACTCCAAGAGTAGAATCGGCAGCTCACCTCAAGCATTATATTGGTTCAAATCTGTCTTTTTACTCGGGGCCTCCCCCGATTGCTGGAAGATGTGCGCGATACGATAAAGGCCCTGGGAGAAACACCTGCAAGATAAGGTCAAAAACTTGACTTTACTAACCAAGCGAGAAAATCCCTTTCTATCTTCTTAGTCAAGCGCGCTAGCTGCAATCAAACTCAAGCGCACACTAGAAAAGAAAGGGCTTAGGCTTCGAAAGGCGCCGGCTACCTTCTTACTGACAGCACAGCTACGTGCTGGCACTCAATTAGTAGCGCTGACACGTCACTTGGCTCCTCGGCTGTACAACTGCTTCAATGGGATAAAAGGAAACTGGCTAAAAGGGATTAGAAATGGACTAGTAAGAGACTCCAATGTAACCTAAAACTAAAATTGGAACCCTAGGAGCTTTTTCTGATATTCATTTCTAAATCATTCAAATATGATGTTTTTCTTCTGCCTTTGAAGATAGGGGCCTCAAAACACACAATAGGGGACTCTTGAACTGAAAACCAGTCCAATGATGAATTAAAGTAAAGACCCCATATTTGTGTTTTTTGAAGAGCAGAGAAAGCGAACTTCTTTTGAATCAAATCAAAGCATATAAGAAATGGCTTGGAGAACACCTTTTGGATTTTTTAGAATTTGAAAGGCAACTAGTGCTCTTTGAGGGCTTATGGGTGACCAACAGCGGTACGAAGAGCTGGCAAATCGACTCAATCACCACTTCCTTGGCAAAAGTGAACAAATAGGTAGCCTAGCCTATGACGATTTGTTGGATAAACAGATCCTCATAGAGGAAAAGTGTAACACCCGTTTATTTACTAAGTTAAATAAATAAATTAATGAACGAATAATAGCCCTAAAATAAATAATTATGTATCAAATGATGGTCTCGTAGAGCTAACTGTCACACTTCAAGAGACTGGGGGTTAAAAGTGTAAAATCTGGACTTAATTTGTAAGTATTAATGAGGGCGGGGACTAAATTGTAACTTCTGGACTTCATTTGAAGGGATTTTAGAGGCTTAGGGGTTGTATTGTAAATTAGGGGTTTTATTTTGTAAGGAATTATGGAAGGGAGGGCTAAAATGTAAGTTTTGGGATTTCATTTGAAAGAGAATTAAAGGGCAGGGACTATTATTGTCATTATGTGAAACTTGTAGATGGAGGCGGGTATTTAAAGGGTGTGTAACCCTAACCCTAAGAGATAACAGTCGCCGCTCCATCCTTATGCCCCCACCATACAGCCGCCACTTCCTCTCCTTACCCCCAACCGTCGCTATTAGCTCCGGCCACTAGCACCACCAATGGCTCTTGTTGTCGTCATTATCGAAGACCGCCTCGCTACTGCTGATGTGGTCTATTCCGACGAGAAGAAGAGTCGCCGATAGCCATCGCTGCTGAAGACGGGGACGGAGCGCCTCCAGCCGCCACCCGCAACTTCGCCATCGGAGCACCATTGTCCCCGCTGTTGTTGAGACTAAGGACGAAGGCCGGCGACAGAATGTCGGGAATGAAGAAGAACATCCACCAGTCGCCGGAAGTGTCGTTGTTTCACCACCGTCGTCGCCGCTCACCGCAGGTGGGTGATTTGGGTTGTTTTTCGAGCAAAGGATGAGTGTTTGTGCTGCTGCTACGGCTGTACGTGTTGTGTTTGTGTCGTGGGTGGCTTAGTTTGGCCGGAAATCACAAGAACAGCCACCACCACCACCGTGAGGTGGTGGCTGCCACCATGAACCACCGTGGGTGGGTGTATTTTAGTGTGTGTGTTGCTTTTGGTATTTCGCATTGTACATTGTAACAAAAATGAAATAATAAAAAGAAATTCGAAACCACCACCGTGAGGTGGTGGCTGCCGCCACCAGCCGCCGCGTTGGGTGGCGGTGTGCTTATTTGTGTTTGGGTGTCGTGTGGGATGCTTGGACTCGACTGGACTAGAAACCCTAACCACCACCGTGAGGTGGTGGCCGCCGCCGTGAGCCACCGTTGACCACCACTACCCGAGGTGGCAATGGGTGGTGCCCGATTAGTGAAACCCTAATGGGCCTAGCAAAACCTTAATAGATCAAAAGACATGTCAATTGGGCCTATTGGGCTAAGATGCGGTTGGAAACCCTAATTAGGGTTTAGAAAACCCTAATTAGGGTTTAGAAAACCCTAATATTGGATTTATGGGCTTAGACTTATTGGGACCCACTTTTGGGCCATTGGAACAATGGAATTGTGTGATTAAGCCCAATCACACCATATGACTTATTTAGAAGAATGATGGACTTAATGGATTAAGTCCTTAATGGGTTAAGTGCTCACTTAACCCTAATCGTCATTCTATGTAAAACCCTAATTTCACTTGGGTTTATTGTTGGGCCTCTTTATTGGGCCTTGATGATTGGGTTATTAATGGGTCATCCAAAGTCAAGCAATTGGACTAGAATACTTTAATGGGCTTAGGGTAAGGCCTATGTAAGG